TTATTTATTTTTATTCACTTTATTATACTATAATAGCACTAATGTGAGTAAAGCTTTGCCTAGGGAGCACCTGGAAAAAATATGCCCCACCATGAATCCAACCTAACCTGCACTGAATAAAGTATTAGAAAATTACAGTTACTGTATCTCATGTTGCTGTGTTTGACTTTGGAACGCTCACCCAACAGGTTGGTGCGATGCATACAGTAATTCTTTTGTTATTTCCCAGTTATTCAAGCATCCCCAACAATCAGCAAGAGAAATGAAATCGAAGGAAAGAAATATGTACATGATGCTATATTGCGAAATGACACAAAACTTCAGAACCACTGAGCTACAACAGAAATGAATATGCCTAACCAGAGAAATAGATGATTTAATATTAAACTCAGTTGCTATCCCTTGTTTTTGAACCAGATTTTACAGTTCACATACAATTCTTCTGTACTCAAGCAACACTAAAAGGGCCTTTATTACAGCACTTTCTCATAGACACATGTCTTTGTAAGATGGAGGGAGAAGTGGGTTGATGTGTTGCCTAGTGCCATATCACCATTCTTACCTTCTTCCATAATATGGAGAATTTACAGATATAGGGACACCATAAGATGTAGTGGAAAGAACTTTTCACCGATGAAACAACAATGGAAACCAGAATAGCAAAAGAAGAAAGGAAAGTGGCAACCTCTGATTATTAAAATACATGTAACTAATGGAAAGCTACCGTTGTGCCACCATTATCAACATATATAGCAGATACCCAAGAGAGAGTTCCTGGTGTCCAGAAAGCTGTCTCTTCATTTTCCTTCATGCTCACACCCAGCGCCGTGCTCCAGTGCTGCTGTCAAACAGGTAATACTGGCCAGAGACTTGAGACAAAAAATAAGAGCTAGTTAGTTTTTTGCCTGCTTTAGTGTTACTTTTGCTCTACTTTATTTTTGTAGAGCTGCCCATCTTAGAATACAGCTCTAAGACAGAAATAAGCTGAATTTCATAATGTTATACAATGTCATGAAATACCTAAAAGCTGCTCCTCTATAGAATTTGGGAAGATAGCGATTTAAACCAGAGTTGCCATCAATTTCACTTCTAAATATGAAATGGTTAGACTTTATAACACTGCACAGACTCAGAAAACTCCTAGAGACCCACCAATAGGCATTCATCCTTTTTCAAACTCTAAAGCGGGTAACATCATTTAGCAAAACTTCTGTATTTCAAAGTTACATAAGATTGGGCCTGCTTAATACTTGAATGCAAAACCAGCAGAGAATATAAGGGCTGCAAGTGAGACTGGAATAAAAAACAACAACAGGCAAATCACTAATGTGGGTCTGCGAAAAAAGCTACCTAGTATATGGAGGTGATGGAGTGGGGGGATTTTTTTTGCCCCAGGACTATATCTGGCCTGAATGATTTATGGTGGGCTGCAGCCAAAAAATGGGTGAGACAAGGAGGAAAAAGAACTGTCACTGATGACACAAGCATGAGCTTACAAAAATTTAAGAGTTTCTGATATACAACTTAGGCAAAAGAATGTCCATCAGGCCACAAAGGGAGAAAGAGGACCAAAGAGCTGAATGAGAGCCAATGGGAACATATGTCTGTAATCATCTATTTTCATGTAATATAATAAACTATTCTCATATAATTTCTCTCTAGAATTTTTTTTTAAAAGTACAATTCAGTGTTAATAATGATGGGAAAGGGCACAGACAGGGCGTCCTTCATCTAAAGTCAGACTTCCCAGCAAGGAATTATTGTATTACCAAGTCCTCTGCAGAGCACAACAATGTTTGGTCTCTGGCAATCATTCCTTATTATGTGTAAGGGAACCAGCAACATGCAATAGTAAAGGTTTTCAACTGGCTAAGCTCTGCTGTCTCTGCAGAAACACGTGATATGTGACCACAACTGCAGCTCTCAGCCTCTTGCAAATAAATCCAGCTTTAGCTAAAAGATGAAGTCTGGTATTTCCTTTCTTGTAATTATATACAAGAGCTCATTTATGGGAAATTGAGAATTTATGTCTTTTCTATTGACTGATTGGACTATGCTATCTCTCTAGAGGTCAAGATGATTTAAAACTGGAGATTAAACTTACTGGGGTCTTGAGCCCGGCCATCAAATTGTTGTTCCTATAATGAGAGAGAGAGAGATGATCCACCTCTTCCCAAGGGCAAGGAACCCAAGAAGAAGAAAGAAAGCTTTCTTGAACTTAACCTTCTGTCATTTAATGACTCTCCCAGAGCAATACAGAGGCCTCATCCACATGTCCTGTTTGCCACTGCGTAAGGCAGCTCACTGTTTTATCAAGAAGAAAATGTCATTCTCAACTTATCCCTAGCCCACCACGACAGCAGCTTTTGTCAATCTTTTTTGTTATACATCAAATGTGGTGTTTTCCACGTTGTTGCTCAAATAGTGTAGTGTAACCTCATTTATGACCTCATTTTGTTACGGGCAGTGCCTCCCCTCCAACTGCTTCATATACACCTCTGTGGGCATAACCCCTCCTTGCAATCTCAGGTAGCTTCCCTCCGAGGTCTTTTCATCTTGTGCTGCTGGGATACCTATCCTCCTTGAGACCCTTCCCATAAAAGACTGACCCCGAGGCAGTGTCTGAAGCATAATATGCTTTCCCTATGTACCAGGAAATCCTGATGTTTGGAAACCCTGATACAGCGGTTCCTCTATGGATGAAGCACCAGTGTATCATTGAATACTTAAGAATGTCAGCTGATGTGAGTAAATTCTATTACAGCTATTTTTTTACCTGCTTGTATCTTCGTGACATCCTCCAGAGGAAAATCCTAGCTAAATGCATTGAGCAGACAGTGCCATTTTGCCTATTCTAATGCGATTTTGTCTACTCCATGAGATACTTCCTTTGCTACTTACAGCCAGCGTTCCCTTGCAATACTTAACTGACTGGCAGCCGGGATGTAATTGACAACAGTTCTGCCAGTTCCCTTTCTAGCCCAAATGGCAAGAGCAAACATAAAATTGTATATTGATTTTCTGTAAGATTGGCAAATCTGTATCCAAAACTAGCCCAGCTGATGGGGCTGGGGTGGGGTTGACAATGGGTAGGAGTTTCAAGGCATTTTATCCTTCTTTTCCCTTCCATCAATGTGTGCTTTGGGCTATCTTGATAGAGGTTTACCAATCTTATGGTAGGTGGCAGACTCATAGGCATGCTAACCATTCTTCCTGCCACTTGGGTTTTCAGATGACCTGTTCAAAAATAGCCTAAGTGACAAATTATTGCTATAGAGCACCTTCACATTGATAGACTGCCTTCTGGGAAGGTGGATAAAGCCTCTGTCCTAGGAAACCTGCCACACTCACTCAAGCCTGCACCACCACACTTTAAGGACAGCAATTGATAATGGATTCCTCCAGGAATAGCTGACACTGGGTGGGAAGGAACAAAGCCACAAAATCTTGCCAAGGATAGTAGAAGAGGGAAGACAGTATGGAGGGAGAGGTTGGCTTTTTTGGTTCCTGCTCTCCAGTCACTCCACGGGAGGATGAATAGACAGCAGAAGATCATAGGTTTTCTGATATCAGCATCAAAGGAAGTGTTCTCCATTCTTCTTTTCTCCTCTCCCCACATTATGCAGACAGTTCTCTTTTTCTGCTGATGTTAAACTGGCTCCCACACTGAATAGCAGCACAATAGTCCACGGGAGACCCAAGAAAACTCTTGTTGCTGCTTCCAATCACTACTGGGAAGAGGCACTGCTATCATTATAACAAGATGGAAATAGACAAGCAAGTGCTTCGGTTGATTTTACTTTATCAAACAGTTCCCACATTCCATAAAAGGCAATATGCAGAAGAATGCAAAAAGATGTGTGCCACAAGGATGATTGCAACTGATCAACTGAAGGAGACAACAGCGACTTAAGCACAGTCTTAAATGTAAAAAAAACATCAAGCTAGGCCAAGATAACATACCAGACTCTGCAAGTCAGTGACATCCTCCCCTTTCTGCTTCCTTGCTTCTTCTGTTACCTTATAATTTTCCCCCGCTTCTTTGTTCCTACACAATGTGAGACATTGCATGAAAAAAGAGCTCTTCCATTAATATCCTGACAGAAGTCTAGCAGAACCAATGACATAAAACAGTGTTTTCAACTTTGACCACTTGAAGAGGTGTGGACTTCAACTCCCAGAATTCCCCAGCCAGATTTGCTGACCTAAAAGATACAGTCTGGAGCTCTATCACAAATTAACTGATGTTAACTCTAATTTTCTTTAAGCTTGTGCCCACAAATATATGGAGACTACAGCATGACCATGCCTGTATGGCTAGGTGTTAGATCGCGAAGAATTACAGTCCCAATACATTTAGCCCATACAAATCCACCCCCAATTTTTCTAGAAGCATGTGTAATTTATTTATTTATTTATTTATATTTGGATTTATATCCCGCCCTTCTCCTCGCGGACTCAGGGCGGCTGACAATCAGTTAAAATACATAAATAACAATACAAATTTAAAATTAATTAAAAGAAATATTTAAACATTTGTCCAATTAAAATGTAATTAAAACCCCTCTAAAAATTACCCTAGGCTAATGAAGGCTTTAGACACCAAGAGTCATCCACAGGCCTTTGCTGCAGACAGATTATTAAAAAAAACCAGTAGCACTGATTTTTCAGCAACTGCAAAATCTCATTGCTATAGTTGTGCATGTTATACAGTAAATGAACGACATCACTATGAAAATTGTTCTCTTATCATTTTTTTAAAAGGAAAGATTGCAAAGGAATAAAAGTGACACAGAAATGAGAACAATGTCTAATGAAATTTCTACAGCTGGGTGAGGAGATTAGTAGGGCAAATTGAAGGAGTTTCAAACTGGGTCAGGATACCCTGAATGGTCATAAGCAATTTAGAAGGGGATCACAGTACTTTTAAAAACCTGATTAGACTTGTGCAAGTGACATTGAAGCACTATTAAAACTGTATTTGGGCTTTATTCCCTGTTACCTACGTGCTCACAGCAATTCCATAAAGTTTGAGAAGTCATGTAATATAATATTTGAGAAGCCATGGAATATGTAGATTAAAACTGAATTAGTAGAAGTAATAAATTCACTTCTTGCCTAACCCTAACATTAGTGAAACCATTAACTCCTGGGGGATTATATAGATTTTTTTTTCTTTTAAGGGGTCAAAATACCTCAAAGTGTGAGAACCACAGAACCAAAGAATAAAGCACTGATGCTTAGCATCTTACATGGCTCATCCCTCTAGACTGCCAGAAGCAGAATAATTAAAAAGCCAATATCCTGAATTTGCATAAAATATTCTGATGATAAAAGGTTATCTTTCTTTAGAGCCTTTGGATGGAGAGTTTCAAGGTGGCATAGTATTTCAACTGTTGGGAGACTTCCGGTCTTGCGCGGTAGTGATCAGTTGCAGGCTTGCGGATCTCCGCACCCCTGCGGCTAATTCAGCAATGGGCAAACTACGGCCCGCGGGCCGTATACGGCCCGGCGGCTGTTTCAAGCCGGCCCGCGGAGCACTAGATAATGTATTCATTTATTCACCTCATGCTGTGTCTAGTGAGGTGAATAAATGAATAAATTATCTAGTGCTCCCAGTGGCTGGCTAGGGAGTTGCAAGGAGCTGGATTGGCTGGGCTGGCCAGCAGCTAGTGGGGGAAGAGGGGAGGGACTGATAAGAAGAAAGAAGCTTGGAAATGGATGGAAGTAGAAAAAAAAGAGCAAAAATATCACTTTTGATGGTATTGTATTCTGCACTGTGATAAGTTGTAACTGCAGATATCAGTCTCAGAAAAAACAAAATCAGTGGTCAGATCATTTTGCATAAGCTGTGAGCAGAGTGGATTGAGCCGTACATGCAGGCAGGGAGAAACTGTGAGGCACACACCACCATCTTTATTCTCACTGCGCAGTCTCATTTGATGACCGGTGGCAGAATCCCAAAATGAGTGGGGCAAAGAAAAGAAAAGTGGACACTGAATGCAGAGTGTTTAATAAGGAATGGATAGCAAAATATTTTTTTACGGAAG